CGGTAGAGCACACTTCACTTATGCATTTCATTACATAGTCAGCGAAGAATACAATGTACGTGTGAGTGTTACGTGTATGTGAGTGTATGTGTGAGTGTGTACATGTGCATGTATGTTTGGAAACTATAATCTTAAATACAAACTCACTGTCAAACATACACACATGCACGCACAAATAAACAAACACATACGCATACATACACACACATATACACGTACAAATACACACACGCACATACACACTTACATGTGTGCATTGTGCTGGTATTTATATTTCTATTATTTTTATTAGTTTGACATTTCATTGTTATTACCGCTTTTTCTGAACTTTTGATCGATATTCACACGCACATACACGCAAGGACACACACGCACACGCAAGCAGACGCAAACTCATCTACACACACACACATATTATATATATATTATATATATATATATAATATGCCCCAAACAATACCGTTATATAACATATTAAATCCATACATTTGGGTATCTCAGTAGGTTTGGTACATGCATCTACGTACTTCATATGTTTGTTTGTCTGTTATTATGTATGTTTGTTGTGTATTAATCTTTGTTGTGTTTGCAAATGACTTTATTGTCAAACTTGTGTCTATACACGCAAATGTACTTAAATGAATACATATATACGCATAGAAAGAGAGAGAGAGAGAGAGAGAGAGAGAGAGAGGGAGAGATAGTAAAGTGAACGCGTTTAGTATATAAGGATCCAGCAAGAATTGCAGTGACATTAGCTTAGTGTTAATTTGAAAATACAGATCGCTATGGTTTGTTATGTATTTTACTAGGTATATACGTATATTTTAGCGGTATTTCTATATCTAGTATATCTTTTAATATACCGTGATTTGTATTTAGGAAAAGTTTTTATTGTCGAGTATTTTTAAAGTAGTAATTTTTAATAATTTGTTATTGATTCGAGAAAATTTTTAATAGGAATATATAAAGTAACGATCAATTTTTGGACAATCAAACACGCACACAGACACACATACACAAACACACACACATACACAAACACACGTGTATATATATAAAATATTTAAATTAATTAGTCTATTTATTTGTTACAAAATTCGATAGAAAGGCCATAAAAAATGGTTATTTACATAATAACGACACTTCTATAACTAAAACATTCGGATTTATAATAATACGGACAGTAACGATAATAGCTGCAACAACAACTGGTACTACTACTACTACTACTACCACTACTACTACTGCTGCTGCTGCTGCTACCACTACTGTGCTGCTACTTCTACAAAGATAACAACAGCAATATCGGATATAGCAATAGTTGATGAAAATGATAATGAAGAAAATAATCTTGGTTCTTCATCTATGACGGTCTATCAAATTTGATTGACAGTCTCCAGCTATCATCATCATCAACAACATCAGCAACATCATTATCATCAATATAACCATCATATCATCATCAACAACATCACTATAATAATCAACAACATCATCATCCTGAACAACAACAACATCTTTATTGTTGGTACTACTAGCGTCGTCAACATTGATATTGTCATCTTTTCATTCTATAGTCACGTTATCATCATCGTCATCTTATTTTTTGTGGTAACAGCAAGCAAAAGCGTCACACAACATCATCAACAACAACAACAACAAAATTAACAACGACGTCATCATCATCAACAACAGCAACTACAACAACAACAACAGCAGCAACTACAACAACAACAACAGCATCCCGATATTTCGCTTAATTAGAACGTTTGCGAACGAAAACATGCAATATCCAAAACCGCCTCACGATATTAATACATCATTATCATCATCGCCGTCAACGAAAATACCCTCATCGTCATCGTCATCATCATCAGTTTCTTCATCATCGTCGTTATCATCACTGCTACTATCATCATTGATATCATCGTTACCACCATCTTTGCTACCATCATCTTTAGCTTCATCACTTGTATCAAAATTAATATCTAAAAAACCAACACCAACATTATCATCATCGAGGTCGTCATCGTCATCATTATCAGGATCATCAACATCATCGTCGTCGTCGTCGTCATCATCATCGTCGTCGAGATCGTTATCATCATTTCTTTATTGCGCCTTTCTGATTCTGCTAGCGACGACACTAAAACAAACGAAGGTGGCGTGCTATGACGTCACGGAAGAATCAAAAAAACTGCTCTACGAAATTGACGAAGAACTTTCGGTTGGTACTACTATTGATAATCTTTTGAAATACGTCATCACAAATGGCGGCCAGCCTGGAGATCGGTACAATTTCGCCTTGGTCTCGCTCAACAAAAACCACGAAAAATTATTTTTCTTCGATTATCACGGAAACAATACCAATGCATCATCATCATCATTTTCATATTTACCATCATCATTATCAACACCGTCATTCAGTAACAGCTTTTTAAAAGTAAGGTCAAGGTTGGACCGAGAAGTTTTATGTCCCCAGAAGGACGTCTGCCAAGTAAAGTTGGAAGTGGAGGTCACCGGGATAAGGTCATCTAAGGTCAGAAAAGGTCGAGAGGTCAAACAGATTCGTCATGTTGATAACGATGACGATGCTCTTGTTAATGAAACTAAATTCAGAAATGGCGTAGGCACTGATAATGATAATGGTGTTGATGCTAATAGTGATGGCAGTCACAATTTCGGTGTCAGCGATTACGATAGTGGTGACGTCATGTCCTCTACTACTTCTACTAACCCCACCACTGATAGTCGTATTGGAATTGATGATGATGATGATGATGGTGGTGGTGGTGGTGGTTCGGCGGATGAAGAAGAAAAAGAAGAAGGAAAAAGAATGTATGTTAGGAATAATGATTATAGATCGCGGCCGAAAGACGTGAAAAATGAAGAGAGTCCAAATGTGGCTTCCGTTAAATTAGAGCAGCATGAAAAACGTCGGCGTCTTCATCATCATCTTCCTGATCTTCATCATCATCGTTCTCATCTTCATCATCATCGTTCTCATCTTCATCATCATCGTTCTCATCTTCATCATCGTCGTCAGCGTCATCATCATAACAATCACTCGCGTAATCAACTTTTGTCTCGTCATATCTATGATTATGGTCAGGGTCGTGACGATCGTCAGCCACAAAATCGATCACAATCTGGCAAACATCATCACTTTCATCTTGCTTCACAGCGTACAGGGGATCAAAATCAACACCAACGACCTCTTCATCCTTATCATCATTCTACTAGAGACCAGTTTCATCCTTCTCAACATCAACAACAACAAATTCATCACCAACAAAGTCATCAACAACAGCCGCAGAAACATCAACGACGACGACGAAGCGATTATTCAAATCACGCAACCGTCCACAATGGTTCAACAAACGAACTCATCAATCTCAGAAACGTTGACGAGCGACAGGATGCAAAGCTCATCCAAAAATATTACAACAATCACGAAACCAACAACAACAGCAACAACATCAACAACAACAACAACGACATCAACATCAGCAACAACATCAACAACAATGAAACTAGCAACAACGATAGCAGCAATAAGCTCAACAATGAAGTCATCAAACAGAGAGTGAAGAGGAATCATTATTTTCAAATAATCGAAGTCAGCATCATCATCCATGACGTTAACGACAACCCACCAATTTTCTTTCCAGATGAAACTTCAGACGAAGACTCATCTTACTCGATTGGGGAAGTTCCAACAAAATGGGAAAACGAAACTCTACTTTTACTTTCGATAAATATCTTGGAAAATTTACCACCCGGACGCAAGGTACCTATACCATGCTACGTGGAAGATCCTGATTGGTTAGATGCCGTTTCAGGAAAGGCAATTAAGTTTGACCAATCAGGAAATTGCTCAAATCTTCTGGGTTTCTATGCAGAAAGTGAAAGCGAAACTTCCTATGCAAAACGTACTAAACGTAATTTCCCTGAACAAGACAGGCAGCAATATCTTATGCAAAATATTCTGGATGTGAACGCTTTTCAAATTATGCAACAGGAACATCTCAAAGAACATCATCAACAGAATAAAAAACACCGAACGATTCGTGCAACACCGTCATCAACCACGTCACATATGTTTCTGACAGTTCTGGAAAATTTGGACCGAGAAACTGATGATCACTGCTCTATGGATATCGTCGCAAGGGACAGCGATGACAACTATTCAAAAACCCTGCGTCTCGTCATTAATTTTGACGACGTGAATGACAACCGACCGAAATTTGAATCCGATGTCATAAGAATTGAAATAGAGGAAGATAGGCAGCCATCGCCTAACAAACCTCTCATGTTCGTCAAGGCCACTGATCTAGATTCTGGAGAACATGGTTTGTTTAATACGATTGATTCTAATTTTTATTTATCGTTAAATTTTTGTGTGTTTATTTGAAAAAATGAATGAAATGAATATTTTTCGAAACAGTTTAATTTTTTAATTTTTAGGCAGAATCATTTATTCTTTTTCCCGAGCCACCCAATCAGCGTTGGGAAAATTTTTCCGCATCGATTCCGACACGGGAGCAATTTATTTGAAAACGCGACTGAACACTCCAGAGGCGACGGCAGGTTTGTCCAATCTTCAGTCGATCCCATCCGTGAAAACCCTTGAAGACCAACACGTTTCCGGCAGCAAACCACAACAACTCGATGACCGATCCACAAGGGGATTTGTACTGAAGATCACAGCATCAAACCCAACGCACGGTCAAACATCTCAAGCGGAAGTCATCGTCGCCATTCGTGATGTCAACGACAACGCTCCCAGCATACGCGTGTCGCCGGAATTAATTGAAATAACGGAAGAACAATCGGAGGTTGGGGTGGCGGTAGGGCACATCACGGTCGATGACCTTGACACCGGCGATAACGGTAAAACTGATTGCGGGTTTGCAACATCCGGCCACTCATCAACGCAACAAGGTGTTGAATCTGCTGACGAGTTGTTGCGCTTGTCACGTGTCAACCAAAAAATTTATCGAATTTTCACGGGGAAGAAGTTAGACAGAGAGAAGACGGCACAGCACAGAGTTGTGCTCTTCTGTTGGGATTACGGCTACCCGGCCAGTCTGAATACATCCCGAGAAATCGTCATCCGAGTACTGGACATCAACGACAACATTCCCAACTTCCTTCAGAGTTCATACAGCGCGGACGTAGAGGAGAACAACAACGAAGGATCTGCCGTCTTGAAAGTGTCAGCTGTTGATATAGACGAGGGTCCTAATGCAGAAATTACGTACAGCATTGTAAACGTCAGTCATGAGGCTGGGGCTGACGTGAAGCAAAGGAAAAGTCATTCATCTCAGAACATCGGCGATAAGGAAACAGGGGCTGACATTGAGTTTGTTAGTAACAACGATGATGACAACAACGATGACGATGATGACAACGAAAAAAATAAAGAGACCACGACTTCATATTCAAATAATGCACTCTTGCACTTCAAAGAGGAAGACGACATTTCTAATTTTGACGACGTTCTCAGCTCTTTTACACTGGACCAAACAACAGGAACTTTATATGCAAAACGACATTTCGATTACGAAACAACAAAATACTTCAAATTTTTTGTCCTAGCAACTGACAATGCGCAAAAAATTGGTGGCAAGCCGTTAAGCAGCAAGGCTCTGGTAATAATAAACATTCAAGACGCAAACGATGAAAGTCCGAAATTTTCAAAAGACAGATATGAATTTACGATTTCTGAAAATGCTCCGATGAAAACCGAAGTCGGTGTCTTGCAGGTAACCGATGCAGATGAAACAGCAAAATTTTCTCGCTTCAACTTAACGATCGAATCTTCCTTTCCACCGAGCTCTTCAAGTGACGGAAGCGGAAGTGGCTTCTTCCAACTGGAACCACAAACAGGCGTCATCTGGACTACGCGAACTCTCGATCGTGAACAGTACGCCGTTCATCATTTGTGGTTGGTAGCTCGAAACACAGCTTCTCCATATTTGAGTGGAACTGCTCACGTGATCGTGCACGTGACGGACACAAACGACAACGCCCCACTCATTGAATACCCTTCGCACGATAACTACACGGTGCATGTGGACTGTGCCTTAGAACCTGGAGCACCTGTTGCTAGGATACGAGCTAGAGACGCCGACCTCGGAGAGAACGCTTCTTTGGATTACAGTGTTGCTAAAGGTAACGAACTCGGTCTGATTGAAGTGGATGGTAAGAGAGGGCTGGTGTCGCTGGTGGTCTACCCGCTGGAGGTGGCCTTCAGGCGACATCACGCACAGAACAACAACTACAACAACGACAATGACGACAGCCACATTAACCACGATATTTCATTCAAACATTTCAACAAGTCATCCAGCAAAAACAACATTGACGACGTCATCACGCTGTTGAGTGACGTCACGTTCGTCGTGAAGGACAACGGAAGTCCATCAAAATCAGCAGAAACTCGAATGTTGTTGGTTGTTGCAAATTGTTCGAAGGTGAATAAAAACTCAAAAAACAATCAACAGACTTCATCTGGAAATAACTATTTCAGCTTCTTTGAAAATTTATTTAGCGCCGAATCTTCAAAAGAATTATTTTCCCGTCACGAAGTCATCATCTCGTTAAGTGCAATCTTCCTGGCTATCATCCTAGTCATCATCTTGTTAGTCGTTTGCGTGAAGGCGAAGAAGCGATCGCGAAATAACAGCACCGTCATGAACAACAACAATGGCGACATTCCAAATAATTCAAAACTACTTGTTGTCACCAACACAACACATACATTCCTGCCAAAAAACAACACCAGTCATCACATCCGGTCAATAACGGAAACGGAAACATCTACTTCCGGCAGCAGCAGCCATACTGCAAACAATCATCGCACGTCAATGGCGCCAAGGACGATAATGTTAAAAACGAACGTCTACTTATGCTGGGAGGAAACAAAATGGTAGACGATGACGTCAGCAAATTTCCGGTGGGCAGTCATCACGTGATGTTGGGCGGCAATCACTCGTACCATGACTCTCCGACGTTGGAAAAATATCAGAACGGATTGCAGAGTTTTTCGGTTAGTTGTGTATGATGGCGATGACGTGAAGATGACGACGACGACGATGCTAATGATGACGATAAATGCAATTAAACAAATATACAGATATAAACAAATACACACACAAACATACACACATAGACAAACACACAAACAAATACACGAACATAAAAATAAATCTAAACAAACAAACAAACCAGCCGACCATCCAAAGCAACCAAGACAGTCTATCGAGACTGAAAAGTTCCCTATTGCAACAGAAACAACAGCAGCAGGGCGACACACACTCAACAAACTCCTCAACATTTCAACAGCAGCAACAACAATGTTGCCAACAGCAGCAACAAATTTGTAAATCGCAACACAGCAGTAGCAACTCGAATTGCAACACGTTCCAGAGAAATAACTTGAGACCTAGCCTGAAATTGTTGCAGCAGGAGATATCGGCCAACGAGCAGAGGAAACATAGTGCAGTTTCCAATACGGAGGTTTGCCTAATTTTTTGTTTTCATCATTATTATGATTATTATTATTATGATTATTATTATGATTATTATTATTATTATTATTATTATTATTATTATTATTATTATTATTATTATTATTATTATTGCTCTTGATAAAGGTTCATGGGCTTATAATTTGTTCATACAAACACTCACCTTCGTAGGTCAACCGTCTGCTAGACATCCTAAAAAGCAACCACGACGAGCAGCATCAGCTCCAAGGCCTCACTTCTGACTGGCCCCACATCGACGACTTCAACCAATCAGACATCATCTGGGGTCCCAGCGTAGATGACGTCATCGACGATGATGGAGATGACGTCATCGATGGCGATGACGTCGTGTACATGAGTGGCAGGCAGATGATGTTGAACAAGGGAGGAGCTAGCTAAGTTATGATGATGATGATCACGATGCTGCTGCTGCTGATGATGATGATGATCACGATGAGGATCATTATCATGATTTCAAAAACTGTTTAATCCTAAATCTCGTTGCAATTATAAATGGTGTAAATATATTTTGAATCTTCTATATGTACAGTAAATATTGTCCTCGTGTAGGTATTGAAAAATAAAACTTTTAATTATTATTATTATTTATTATTAAAATTATTATTATTTATTATTATTTATTTGTTTGTTTATTTATTTATTTTGTTTTTGTCACTATTTCATCAAAAAATCTGTAATTTGTGAATTATTTATTTCTTGTTTTATCGGTTTTTTGTTTGACTTTTTCACAAAAATTCAAACAATTCCTAGCCAAAAGAACAATCAATTAAATAGAAATGAATTTTAAAAAATAAAAAACATATAATAATAATTATTATTATTATTTATTACTATAATTATAACAAAAATTATGTATTATGCAACATAATAATAACAATAATTACTATTATTATTTGTATTATTATTTGTATTACTCATTCATATGTGATACAAAATCGGATGGACACATTCAATCATTTTCATTAAAATTTCATCACCAGCGTCATCACACCATCAGGTTATTTTTCTCCAAGGCTTTCCACGCAGCCCTCCAAAATACCCCTTTCAAATATTTCAACAGCCTAGGCAAAATTTTCTCGCAAAGTTGTTAAGATTCGTTTTCAATATTACCTCAGGGAGGCGTGCAACGACGATGAAGAAATAAAAAAAGGGGATAGATGGATAGGGAAAATATACAAATTCCAGGCAGAGATGCGGCAAATACACAAACGAAGATATGCAGATACACAAACAAAATTACATACAAAATTACATACACAACACATCGATGTACACAAAGACACATGCAAAGATACGTACCAAGATACGTACAAAGATACATAAACAATGTTACACAAACTATGAGAAATATTCATACATAGATACGTTCAGACTACCATATGCACAAGCCAGATATACAAATGTATGTATCTAGACACACATACACACACAAATACACAGTTTTTACACACACACACACACAACACTCGTACTAGCACATAGGCAAACATTCACACACGAAAAAGTATTCAACAAATGAGTAAATACCCACATGCTAATACGCACATATGGGGGCGTACATACACACACACGCACACACGCTTGCACACACATTTAATTCATTCGGTCATTCATTCATTCATTTGCTCGTTCGTTCATTCATTCAGTCATTCGTCGTAATATTAATTGAAGAAGCATTATGTAGTTCATTGTATGATTTATTTTTCAACAAATGGTAAAATGATTTTTATATTGATCTTTTTTTGTTGTTGAATTTCGGTCTTAAATTTTTTTTATCCTCATCTGATCGAATGATCAAATATTACAAACATTTATTCATCCATCCATTCATTCATTCATTCATACATTCATTCATTCATTCATTCATTCATACGTTTATTCATTCATTTATTTATTTATATTTTTCACGAACTGCTGGTTTACAGTCTGCAGAGTTTGATAAGTTTTTTATGCATGCAAAACAAAGACATTATAAGAATACAACGCAAACAAACACAACAACACAAACAACAACACAACGAAACAAAAAACACAAACAACAACGAAACAAACAACACAAACAAACAACACAAACAGAGAATCCAAACAACACAAACAAACACAACGGCACAAACAAACGCAACAACACAAACAACAACACAATGAAGAACATAGCAACATTAACAATAGCCAATGTATTATGCAAACAAGCGCATTCTTCAATGATATTTAATTAAAATAACACACACACAAATACACACACTCACACACACACACACACATATATATATATATATATATATATAATGTATATAAATATTATTTTATTGATATTAATGTAACCAATGTATTAAATTGTATTGAATTGTATTAAATGACATGAAATTTTCTTTGGCGCTTTATATCTCTTTGTCTCATTGTTGTTGTTATTATTATTATTATTTATTATTTATTATTATTTAGTTTTATTATTGTTGTTGTTGTTATAAAAAAAAGTATTGTTGCGTAATTTAAAACATTTTGTTATGTCAATACTGTAATTGTTAATATTACTACTACCAATAATAATACTACTACTACTACTGCTGCTACTGCTACTGCTGCTACCACTACTGCTACTTCTACTATTTTTACATTATTACTACTACTACTACTATAAATACGACAGCTGCTATTACTACTTCTATTATTATTACTACTACAATTCAATTACTTCTGTTTTTTTTTTTACTAAAAGTATCCCAACTTAAAAAGAAAATATTAAAAAAATGAATCATCATACTTTAATAAAAAGCTTATTATTTTGTGAAGAGTTAGTTGCTTTCTTTTACACCCACACACACACACCACACACACACACACACACACACACACACACACACACATACTTACATACACACATACGTATGTTCGTGGTTATACAGTATCAGCAGACACCGTTATTATAGTCGAACTGACTGTACCGTATGAGGCTAACATAGCAGCAAATTACGCTATAAAAACAGCCAAGTATGAAGAGGTGTCGTTGGTTGTTCAGTGTAGAACTTTTTGAAGGATTTGGGTTTGGCAGGTAAAAGACGATCAATTTGTGTGAAGAACAAACATAGGAGGGCATACAGCCGAACAAGCATCTAATGGATATGGCCATGTAGGGGAAAAAGGAATGCGAGTTCAAATAGTTAACAGACGAGCTTGTGTGCACTCAACACTCCCAGAATCGGCACAGCGTGTTACTTGGCTCGTCGATATAACTCGCATCGTGATATGTTTATATGTGAACTGTCTGGCGCGCCTGCACATTTTTTCAGGATGAAATGAGGTGATTTCAAAGCGAGGCAAATTGTTTGTTCAGCAAGATACACCCAACTGATTTCTGGATTTGGCCCTGTTTCACGAGAGGTGAAATGGTTAAGATGCCTGTTGCTGTTGTTGCAGTGTCTGGCTTCAATCGCGTAAAGATTCCCAAGATTTATGTGTGAACAGAGGGAGAGAGAGAGAGAGAAGGAGAGAGAGAGAGAAGAAGGGAGAGAGAAGAGAGAGAGAGAGAAAAGAAGAGAGAGATAAAGTAAAAGAGAAAGATTGTGCATTAATACTATGCAGTATAAATACATATGTATATATGTATATACATATATATATATATATATATATATATACTTTTATATGATGATAATATTTTTTTTACTTCTTACAGA